TCGGATAACTTCTATATTAGATATTTGTAGAATTCTTTAATAAATTTGGGAACTAAGCCAAAACATAACCTGCAAATTTTCTTCAAGAACGGGGAACTGCAAATTACTGCCCCTTCATATTTCGCTTTCCAATATATTTCAAAAAAAGTAAGTTTGGCCGGTCCGAACTTTTTATACCTCCTACCACCTAGAACGCATCCAAAATTCCTTAAAATCGATGGGGACCTTCGTATGGAAACGATATTATTACACTATGTGGAAAAAATAATGCTGTGGAAAAAAATAATGTTCCAACTACAGAGACTCGGGATGGAAAACGGAGGTAGGAACTTCAGGATACTGAAAATAACCTATATATATATAGTCGGACGGGGCCGACCATACGATACCCTAAACAACTACGACGGATTTCTAACTTTCCGCGGATGTTTATTTCGTGACATTTGCACCCTCTTGGCCGATTAGAGGTCAACAGCACCTCTTCCATACACTGACATATTTTCCGAATATTTCTAATATTCAGTACAGCCCTACTAATTACTTGTCCAGATTGCCTTCGCCGTTGGTTGTATGGTGATGCTCGGCTTATAACTGTGGCCTATAGATCGATTCGAAAAATACACAAAAAAATGTTTAGGTCCACTTCATACGAAAATGATTATCTGATCATCACCGAAAATTATAAGTGTTGTCCTTGACCATAACTTCAATATCGTGGAAAATTTCAAAGCGATCAGCGCTATATTTCCGCCCTCTAGTGTGGTAAAGGCTTACTAAATAACATCTGAATACGTAAGCACCTTTGATATATTTAAGTGTATCCAAGAACATACGACAATATAATTGGTAGCAATTTAAATGTCAATCACTCCTCTTGGAGCCTCTGATCGGCTCTATGTCCTTCAGGGGCAAATCTATACGCTATAGAATAAAAATTTTGTCATTTTTCACACAAAAGTCAGGGTCCATTTGACAACCTATATATTGACCGATCTTCATCCAAACAGCAATGCATATTGTTTGGCCCGATCCCCTTATCCATGTAAAATTTCACGATGTTCAGGCCATTATTGCGGCCTCTAGAGTGACCAGAAAAACCGACAAAAATTTAGTATTTGGTCCATTTCATCCTCTAAATATAACCCGATCTTTACCAAAAACAATAGGGGTCTGCATTGGCCAGAACCCATCCTACATGCAAAATTTCGTGAAGATTGGTCCATAACTGTAGCTCAGCTAGATCGACTCAGCTAGTCGAGATATGACGATCGGTAGACTTAAAGGAGGGTCTAGGACCACTTTTTCGCGGCGTTACAAACTCTTGGGCCTGCACAAAGCTATAATACCCTGACAACATAGTTGTGTACGGTATAAATACCAATAGGGTCAAACAGGGCGTTGTTACGACTGCTCCGGTCAACCGGTCAACTTTGATAACTTCTCCGATTTTATCGAAATTTTCGATGGAATCTACGAAACCAAAAATTTCGAATTTGACTTTTTCCCCGAACAAATATCTAACTTCAATTCATCCGAGGCATAATATTTCTCCAGTTAGTCAATTTGCAATTAGTATGCGCGTTTGCGAAAGGCAATCTTGTCTTCCGATTCTTTCTTGATAGTTTCCATAGCTCGTACACGCCTTGTTCTTGAGGTTATATCCAACTATAACCGTCTCTCAACTATAACCGTTGAACTCTTAAATGAGAATTTTTACTGCTATGATAATTTGTTTATCAGTACGGAATGATATTCTTTTGCAGCTTTCCCCCGTTCTGAACTCCACCAGTATATGTAGTAGGGGAGACTGGGACACATTCGTCACGTTTTTTAGAGCTCTATATCACAGTACTTATTCAACTGATATAAAAACTTTATGGCAGATTATTGTCCTCTCATATTTAATTTTAAAAACTAGAACCAAAACACATAATAAATTAGTATTAGTTAAAAATTTTTACAGTTTTGTAGGGTAGGTTCGGCATTTGATGGAGCACATTCAGCACCATGGTCGTAGCCTCGTAATTATCACAGCTATCTGTCTGGATGAAATTCACATCGTATAAAGATTCTATTTTGTTTTAATATGCGACTCAATGTCTGACTTTTAAGGCTATATTTTCTAGCGGTGGACGTTAACGTCTCAAGGCCACACGCACAATCAGAAATAGCCTCTTTTTATCACATTTTCGTCAATACAAGAACGTTTGGTCTTATATATGTAATTTCGAACCATAGTAAGAGATTATTTTTAAAGACAAACTCAAAAAAAAAAAAAAAAAAAAAAACAGTGAGCGGAGCAGTATAGTCGGACGGGGCCGATCATACGATACCCTACACAACTACCTCGGAACTCTAACTTTCTGCGAATTTTTATTCCGAGCCTGGCAATATTTCGTGATAATTGCACCCTTTTGATCGACTTGAGGTCAACAAATATAACTAATATTCAGTACAGCCCTTCTAATTGCATTTCCAAAAATTAAAAAAAGTATGTTTTCGGTCCACTTCATCCCAAAAGTATTATCTGATCATCGCCGAAATTTATAGGCGTTGTCCTTGACCATAACTGGAACCTCATGGAACATTTCGAAGCGATCAGTGCTATATATCCGCCCTCCAGTGTGGTAATGGGTTACTAAATAATATCTGAATACGTAAGCACCTGTAAATATTTCAGTGTAACTCCCACATCCGAGTACATACCTAAAAATAATTGGTATCAATTTAAAGGTCAACCACTTCTCTTGAACATACTATCAACTTCTTGGGCCTATGTCCTTCAGGAGTAAATATATACACAATAGAATACACATTTTGTAATTTTTCACACAAAAGTCAGGATCGATTTGACCCGCTAAATGCTTATTCTTTAGCCCGATCCCGTTATCCATGTAAAATTTCGCCATGTTCGGGCCATAATTGCGGCCTCTGGAGCGACCAGAAAAATTGATAAAAATTCAGTATTTGGTCCATTTCATCCCATAAATATTAACCGATCTTTACCAAAAACAATAGGGGTGTTCATTGGGCCGAACCCATCCTGTGACTGCAGATGAAAATTGACATGCCAACATCGGTATCAAGTTGTACACCAATCGGATATGATTACAGCATTTTTTTAATACTGAAAATGCTTTAAATAAACATTTCCAAATTTCAATTCACACAAACGAACTTTTAACAAGATTTTTTGTGTCACTAAGCTGATTATCCATTTCCTAGTTACCAAAAATTGCTGAAAAACTATTTATACTCGATGTAAGTCTTTCTATTACTGGCCCTTTTTGCTTTTTGGAACGATAAAAAAACACGCACATTTCCGCACCAGACGAGAAGACTACCACGATTCCCATGAAGGCACTAGGGATGAACTATGTTAACCACATTTGTCAACCACGTTCACTTTTAACATTTCACACAGAACCTTTTTGTGATGTGGCCATAAAAGCCCTAATACAAGTTGGCTTCAGTAACGCAGCGGATTAACAAAGTGCACATAGAGTTGTACATTGTTCGAAAGAGAGATTTATTTATTTATTTTCTTTTTTTTAGAAATTGACGAGTAGTTTAAATTTTAAATTTGGTTAAATATTTATCATCGTTTAACACTTTTCATTTTTAGCAATGTAAAAAATCCCCTTTTTGTATTTTTCGATTACAATTCCTTTGTTTTTAAAAATATTTTACTGCATTAATGAAAATAATGTCCTTTGAATATTAACCCATTGAGCCCCGAATTTTTTTCCGTAATCATAAAACAATTTTCTGTTCACAGATTTAATGCAACTATCCTAGATAGGATATGGACAAAATTTGACATCGATACATCCCTGCATTCGGGAGATACAGTACATTGTTTCTGAAAAATAAATGCCCAATATCGAGAAACCCAAAAACAAAATCGACCAAAAAATCATTTTAAATTATTCTCTATGTTCTGTTTTAGAAGAATCAAAAATAATTCTTATGGTAGAATTCGTACATTTCGAATATGAAGCGATTTAAATAATTTGGACTGTATGCACAAATTAGTACTGTACACATTTTTGCCCTCTTCTCTATATTGAAAAGCTCATAACTTTACCAAAAATTTGAATTTTTAAGATTTTTCTTTTAATATGTGTTGTCCATAATCAGGTCTTGACATATGAGATCCAAAAAATATGTATGTACTAGCACTATATTAAATATAAGCTCTAAAACATTTTGTTGCCTGTGAGCAACATTGGGCCACAAAGGGTTAAACACCTAACTAACACTTTCAATTCTATGCCACATAATATCCTTACACAGCTATATGCACGTTGTTCTGTTCTGTTTTATCTTAATGTTGTTGTTACTTCCAAATACCATAGAACTTAAAGTAATTCGCTGTATTTTACTATTTACCATTGATTGGAGTTCCTCCCTAGTTTGCATTATACCTTTGCAATATATACCTTAATAATCTCTCACATTCTTAGGTACCAGTCGCGTTGGTCTACCCAGCAATCCGAGTAGTCGTAAAAGCTCTGTTTTCGATTTGTCACAGCAGCAACAGCAATTACCACTGGGTTTGGGTAATACCGCCACAAGTCCACCATCCGATGAAGAAATCAAACCACAATTTCCACCCCGCTGGAAGGGTAGCGGTGGCAATATGTTGCCAGCAACACCAAAACAAGCTCTCTCCATGCTTAAACAGGCCTCCTCGGCCACCAATGTTTCCGAAAGACAATACTACTTGGGATCACAACAACAACAACAACTCACTGACAGTCCACAACATGTGCGCAAGGGCAGTGTTTACAACTTAAGACCAGACGAAAGTCCACAACGCAAAGCCAGTATTTACACCATGAACACCAGTGAAACACCAACAACACAGCGACAACGCAAGGGAAGTATGTATGTTGCAGCGGGAAACAGTGGCCCAGGGGCTACTACCGGTTCAAGTCTTACGGTACATGAACCGTTACGTAAAAATAGCATTATGGCTCCGTCCACACCCGACAGCCCGTCCATGTCCCGCAAATCCAGTGTTGTACCTTCAAATTCCAGTGCAAAATCCTACAGAAGTTTATCCGACTCTTCGAGTAATTTATCAACAACAGTTTCGTCATCGCTCAGTGCAACTTCGACCAGTTATGGTTTACAATTGGGACCAGGACAAATACATCCGAAAGGTTATCGCCTGACAACGGAGCGTCATGGTGAATTGAAGATGGGCTTTAGCAAGATAAAGGGTTGCGTTGAAGTTGAGGTAAGGCCATATATATATATATATATATATATTTATACCCTTCATCACACAGTGATACAGGTTATTATGTCTGTGCAAATGTTCGCAACAGACAAAAGGAAACGAGATAGACAAATGGTTCCTTTTGAGAATATGCATAGAATAACTTTCTGAGTCGATTTACGCATGTCCGTCTGTCCGTCCGTTCGTCTATGTATTTTTTTGAACAATGTACAGGTCGCATTTATGATCCGATTTGGATGAAATTTGGCATAGGTCACTTATTTGGCCCAAGGACGAACCCTATTGAAATTGGAAAAAATCGGTTCAGATTTGGATATAGCTCCCATATATATTTTCGTCCGATTTAATGTAAACGGTGCACCAAAGTTCCTAGATATCCCTCTATTTGCACGAAATTTGGCACAGCGTAATGAATTAGGTATAGAATGATGTGTGTTAAGTTTCCTTAAAATCGGTTCAGATTTGGATATATCTCCCATATATATTTTCGTCCGATTTAATGTAAATGGTGCACCAAAGTCCCCATGTATCTCTCGATTTGCACGAAATTTAGCACAACGTAATGCATTAGGTCTAGAATGATGTGTGTTAAGTTTCCTGAAAATCGGTTCAGTTTTAGGTATAGCTCCCCTATATATTTTCGTCCGATTTAATGTAAATGGTCTACCAAAGTCCCTATATATCTTTCGATTTGCATGAAATTTGGCGGAGCGTAGTGAATTAGAAATAGAATAATGTGTGTTAAGTTTCCTGAAAATCGGTTCAGATTTAAATATAGCTCCCATATATATTTCCGTCCGATTTAATGTAATTGGGGCACCAAAGTCCCCATATATTATTTGATTTGCACGAAATTTGGCACAGCGTAATGAATTGGGTCCAGAATGATGTGTGTTAAGTTTCCTGAAAATCGGTTCAGATTTAGATATAGCTCCCATATATATTTCCGTCCGATTTAATGTAAATGGTCCACCAAAGTCCCTATATATCTTTCGATTTGCACGAAATTTGGCATAGCGTAATGAATTAGGTATAGAATGATGTGTGTTAAGTTTCCTGAAAATCGGTTCAGTTTTAGGTATAGCTCCCCTATATATTTTCGTCCGATTTAATGTAAATGGTCTACCAAAGTCCCTATATATCTTTCGATTTGCATGAAATTTGGCGGAGCGTAGTGAATTAGATATAGAATAATGTGTGTTAAGTTTCCTGAAAATCGGTTCAGATTTAAATATAGCTCCCATATATATTTCCGTCCGATTTAATGTAATTGGGGCACCAAAGTCCCCATATATTATTTGATTTGCACGAAATTTGGCACAGCGTAATGAATTGGGTCCAGAATGATGTGTGTTAAGTTTCCTGAAAATCGGTTCAGATTTAAATATAGCTCCCATATATATTTCCGTTCGATTTAATGGTACATGGTCCACCAAAGTCCCTTAATATCTTTCGATTTGCACGAAATTCGGCACAGCGTAATGAATTAGGTCTGGAACGATGTGTGTTAAGTTTCCTGAAAATCGGTTCAGATTTGGAAATGGCTCCCATATATATTTTCGTCAGATTTGATTTAAATGGTGCACCGAAGTCCCTATATATCTCTCGATTTGCACGAAATTTGGCACAGTGTTATGAAATAGGTCTAGAATGATGTGTGTTAAGTTTTCTGAAATCGGTTCAGATTTAGATATAGCTTCTATATCTGACCAAATGAAAAATTTAGTATCGGTTGCCGAATGACATATTTATGGATCCAATTTCATTTTATTGGTCCTTTAAAAATGCAACGTCTGTTAGGATTCATCTTTTGAATATACCCAATGTGGTGAAGGGTATCATATAGTCGGCCCCGTCCGACTTTACTACTTTCCTTACTGGTTTAAGAAGAAGCAGAAGAATCTCGAAATTCACCAGTAGGGAATTAAGAAACATTATTAAAAGGGATACTTTTTTTTATTAAAATGATTGGATAATATTTACCGGACAAGGTGTGGATTTAAAACCATATTTTTGGAAGGATAACTTCAAAGCGTAGATGATTAAAAAATATTTTTGTAAAAAAAGTTTGTTCGAGATATATAAGGCGCGGACTTTTAAAAAAAATATTTTTTTTCGAGAAGCATATAAGGCGTGGTTAAAATTTTTTTCAGGAGCATATAAGGCGTGGTTTAAAAAAATGTTTTTTTTTCGAGAAGCATATAAGGCGTGGATTTAATTTTTTAAAGCATAAAAGCATATACGGCGTATATTTAAAAAAAATATTTTTTCGAAAAGCTATACTGTGTAGATATTTAAAAAAATTATTTTTCGAATAGCATATACGGCATAGATTTTTAAAAAAATATTTTTTTCGAGAATCAAAATTTTGCTCGAAACAATTACTTCATCTCTTCTACTACTTTTAAATCTTTCTTCCTAGTTACTTTGTGCCCGTAAAATAGTACCAGTAGATTGTGAGACACCACCCGATACCTATGTGAAATGCTATATCAAGGATGGAGATCGTTTGCGGCACAAAAAGAAAACTCGTGTTGTACGACATTCGGCGGAACCCATCTATAAACAGACAATTAAATATCAGGTATGGAAATTATTTAATTAAAAAATATAGAAAGCGGTCTAGCTTACAGTGCATTTTTGTTTAATCCTAGTGCTCAGATGTTTTTGGACGCAATATTGTTATAATGGTTTGGCAACGTTGTGTTGGTTTCGAACACAATCAAGGCCTTGGAGGTACGGAAGTTAATTTGGATAAATTGAATATGGACGAACGTGTCAGTGGATGGTATCCGCTGTTTCCCATGCATTCATTTGGTGGATCGGATTCGGATAATTCTCCTTGACCGATTACGCCCAAACATCAATACAATTCATGCGATAGCATTGAAGGTACTGGTCTCTTCAATAATCAAATGGCGGCAGCAACTTTAAAAGCGGTAACCACTCCGTTACGCTTGAATGATAATTCCCCTACGGAAAGTCGAAGTAACAACACCAACACAACCAAAAAACATTTAATGGTAACAGCAACACCATCACCAACAACAGCAGCAGCGACAACAGCAACAATTATTGCAACAACACCAATAGAATATAAGTCACCGGAAAAGACGGACATTGTCCGTGATTTGTTGGTATTTTTTAAGAAACTTTTTAAATGTAAGAATGTCAGTGTGAACAACAATAAGGATCATTTTACACACACACATGGCTCAGCACAGGGTGAATATATCTAAGTGTACAATATACATGCAAACACACACATACATATAATATATATATATATATTTCTATAACATTTTCAAGAGATTACAAAATCCAAAAAAAAGAAACAAATACACCAATAACAACAAATCAGACATTATATATTTATATCATTCGTACCTATTATAGAGAAACTAAGCTATATATTTATTTACAATAATTTTAGAGTTTTATATTTGTTAAGAATACAATTTTGAATACGACACATACTAAGGAAAACACACTTTGGTAATGAGTACAAAAAACTCATGGAGGTTTGAAAATCTTAATGAAACGTTCCGCCCTATTATTGTTATTTTGATGGTTGCCATAATTAATACACCAACTAAATATACAAAATATCCTATCCCACGACGGCCGGTTCTATGCACCGGATTGACTCGGAGGAATCAACTTCCGACCAAGGGCTGTCAACCCAGCAAATACAGCGTGTATTTTTTCAACTTGGGAGCATCATTACCCGGAATGTTTGCTCCGGATTCTTTTGGTCCGTGCCGGGATTGAGACAAACCCCGGACCATGGTTCTGCTCAGTTTGTCACAACAGCATCCACCACCGATCTATCTCGGTGAGATGCAAGGGATGCAGAGAATGGGTACATTTCAGGAGTTGTTCCGGCCTTAACCGGATACAGGAGTATAGCGAAAGGGACTACGTTGCAGTCCCCAGCGAGTCGTCGTCATCACCGTGGTCCACGTCGGATTACGTGACTCCCCCGCAATCTCAGCAGCAGCAACCTGCGCCGCAGCCGCTAACACCGCACATTGCAGTCGCAACTCCTGATAACGTATCCTTTCTTCAATTCAACTGCGATGGACTTCGAGGGAAAATCAACGTCGCTGCGATCCAAGAAACGAAGCTGAACAACACCTGCAGTCTTCAGAGTTGTGATGGATACAACGTGATTAGGAAGGATCGTACAAGAAGTGGAGGTGGAGGATTAGCATTCCTACTGCACCATTCTGTCCAGTACAGACCTATCTCGCTTGAGCTAGACTCTAGTGACCCATACATGGAATGTATGGGGGTATCGGTCAAATGTGGTACCGCCGAGGTAGAGGTGCTTAACATTTACATTCCGCCGTTAAATAGTTGTGCCCCGCGTTATTTGCCCGACATTAGTCATCTTTTGGAAGGCAATAACCGTCTGGTGCTAGGGGATTTCAATGCACATCATGAGTTATGGCATTCCGTCCTAGGTAATGACCAGAGGGCCATGGCGCTGGCCTAGCAATTTGATAGCTCAACGTTTTGCACGGTGAACGAGGACATACCCACCAGGATAAGGGGAGACTGCCAAAGCTCACCGGACATATCCATCGTGTCTCCGGGTCTGACGAATGACGTGGCTTGGCAACCCGCCATATCATTGGGGTCAGACCACCTCCCTATTATCATATCCATCAACAGACCACCCGATTTCATAACTTCTGAACGCCGTACTTTCCTTAATCATGGGAAAGCCAATTGGCAAGAGTTCAGAAATTTCACCAATCGTCGCTTTAGATAACTGCCCATCCCTTCTGATGCTCGGGTAGCAGAAAGGATTTTCCGGGACATCATCAATGCTGCAGCCGCTCGCTATATACCTGCGGGTCGTATACCCGAACTAAGACCGGACTTCCCAGCAGAGGCAGCGGGACTAGCGAATGAGCGTGATGAGCTTCGTCGTTCTAACCCTACTAACCCCAGAGTCAGAAAACTGACGTTGGAAGTGAACAGGTTAGTCGGCGAACATAAGCGGAAAAAGTGGCTAGAACATCTGAAGTGTTGCAACATCAGTACCGGAGTGAGTAAATTGTGGGCAACGGTTAAGTCGCTCTCGAACCCTGGAAAGAAGGAGGATCGGACTTCTGTCTCATTTAACGGCGTTGAGGGGACAGATCCGAAGAGGTGCGCGTGTTTTTTCAACCGGCAGTTTATAGAGCACCCTGAGAGTGACCGGGCGAAGAGAAGAGTATACGCTCTCTTCAGGTGGAGGAGGAACCACCACAATTTACGTTGGAGGATGTTGCGAAATCATCCAAAGCGCTTGGTCCAGATGGAATCTCAATGGTGATGTTGAAGCAGCTTGATGAGCCTGGAGTATATTTCACTAAAGCCCTCAACTTGTCGTTATCCACCCTAGTAGTTCCCGATGCCTGGAAAATGGGCAGGGTAGTCCCGAAAGACTCAACCAGAACAGGCCGTGCAACTCTACAGTCATGGTGGCGCTAGGCCTATCAAAGGCATTTGAGGACATCGAGAGAACAACCCTCCGGCCAAGTTTGAAACGTTGGATCGTAAACTATATGTGTGGACGCCAGTCGTACGTGGAATTCAGAGACAGGAAATCGAAGGCCCGTAGAGTTAAACAGGGAGTTCCCCAAGGAGGGGTGATATCTCCGGAACTGTTTAACCTCTACCTCTCTGGAATTCCACGCCCACCGGACGGCATAAATATCGTGACATATGCGGATGATTGCATGATTATGGCGTCAGGACCTAAAATTGATGACATTTGCGAGAGTCTGAACCACTATCTCGTGGATATCGCTGATTTTTTCCGGTCGAGGAATATGAAAATATCCGCCACTAAATTAACGGCCACACTGTTTACCACATGGACAGCGGAGATGAGGCTATCATTGGATGTGCAGGTCGAGGGGTCCACAATTCCAACCACTAATTACCCCAAGGAATATGAAAATATCCGCCACTAAGTCAACGGCCACACTGTTTACCACATGGACAGCGGAGATGAGGCTATCATTGGATGTGCAGGTCGAGGGGTCCACAATTCCAACCACTAATTACCCCAAGGTTCTAGGGGTCACATTCGATAGCCTATACAAGTCGTCCGCGCATGCCACAGCTATTTGCGATAAAGTCAGGAGCAGAAACAAGGTTCTCAAGTCGCTAGCCCGCAGCACTTGGGGAGCTGACAAGGAAACCTTGTTAACGACTTATAAAGCAATAGGCCGGTCTGTGGTAAACTATGCGGCGCCAGTGTGGTCCGCTAACGTGTGTGCAACGCAGTGGGGTCCAGAGGTACAAAAGGGAGCCTCTAGATCAACAGGCCTATCAAGCAGGATTGAATAGTATTCACACGGACGGAGTTGAGAAAGCAGTTCAAGAATATCGCTTGAATACCATCCTCGGAGACCATCCGCCTTTGATAGCTGCAGAAGAGCAGCAGCTACCTCGACAAACTAGAGTGGTCTTGGCACAACTGAGATCTGGATGGTGTAGCCTCGTCAATTCGTATTGGGCACGAATTGATGGAGAGGTCGACAATGTCTGCCCGGCATGTGGTAACCACATGGCACGCTACATCTGTTCAACTGCCCAGCCAAACCCACTCAACTAACCCCATCTACTCTCTGGACTCAACCAATACTGGTCGCAGCCTTTCTGAATTTGGAGTTAGAGACAGAACCAGATTAGAGAAAATAGAAAATACACAGCTGCTACAACAACAACAAAATATCCTTAATTGTAATTTATTTTGACACTTTGTAATACATAATGTACAAAGTAGAGTACCTATTATTAAAATCGTGAGCATTTTAAATGTTTGAAATAAATAATAATTTACTTCTTACGAGTGAAACAGCAATTGCATTCGAATGATTAGTATATATGTAAGAAGAAATATTTGACTTGGCAAAATAATAACGTATTTTCGAAATCGGAGTCGGGAATGGTTCAAATAATAAGGTGTGTGAATGGAAAAAGGCTAAAGGAAACCACTGGGGACATTTTGTATACCCGTACATAAATTCCTTATTTCGAAGTTTCAAGGATGCTCTAAACGATACTCTCATTATTCGATATCGTTTAAGTCATTATCCCTCCTATAGGCCATAATTCCTTCCGGGTTAGGTTATTTCTTTTAAGTTATTATCCTTCCTATAGGCCATAATTAAAAGGGAAGCGTGTTTAGCCATCGATGCTCAGTTACTTTTCAATGTTGACTTCGTCTCTATAATAGAAGGATCACAGAACGTTTTAACAATACTGAAAAGATATGAGTCCTTAGTGGCAAGAAATATAAACAAAATACCGATGAGTAATTTTTGTTATTTATGATTTTTATCATTTCAATCATTAATAAATAATTTTGGAACATAACAAAAAAAGTTAATATGAATTATATAAATTAACCGTAGAGAGACGGAGCATATCGAGTGAAATATAAATAGTGCAAAACGGAAATGTGATTTGAATGCCACAAAAATCAATTATTGTGTATAAAAGAAATTTAAGAAAACTATAACATAATTGCAGTTAATTTTGTTTTTGGGGGAAAAAAATTAGAAGTTAATTGCTCCATAATTACAGAATATGTAGCTGATTAAAGTTTGTTATATGCAGTTAAATATATACATCCATAAATATATTTAAGCAGAATGCAGTTTATTTTCTATATGATGAAATTGTTACAGTTGAGAGGACAGTTGTAGTGCAAAACAAAAAAAAGGTATTTATTTATATACACTCATACATACATAATACCATACAAATACATATATAATACACATCGATATATAATACACGAATATACAAACAGAAAAAAAACACATATAAATTATTAATAATATAACAGTTATGTGTTTATGTATTACTATTATGAATATTAAAAAAAATAAACTAAAATTAAATTACACAATGAAATCAAGTCTTCACAACAATAATATTAAATAATA